CCTGACCCGCCCGCTGCTCCCCTCAGCAGTGTACTTCGTCAATCTGTCTGTTCTGCTCCCCGCTCTGTCTCTGGTGAAGCTTCTCACCGCCCCTGAGCCTCTGGCCTGTACCCCAGTTCTGTATGCACAAATAAATAAATCTTTAAAAAAGTTTACACTTTTAAAATATATTTGAACAGTGACTTATGCTAGTTGATTAAGCAGTTTCCAGATGATGACATTGGCAAGTCTTTCGGTAGATTTAGTACTGGGTTTTGGTATTTTTGACCATCATATGTAGTGGCATATTTAGTATTACATTTTGTTTGCTGATATTTAAGAGTATGGCCCATATTTCATACATCAGCCGAAGAAATAGCTATGTTTGCTGAATTACTTTTAAAGAAATTTGTGCTATTTGTATAGTGAACTCTACCTGTATAAGTTTGTGGATTTCAAATGATGTGTAACCCATAAAATTAGAACCTCAATCATGAGGCAGAGAAGTTCCTTCACCTTACAGTACTTAGTGCCCTTTTACACACCATCTTTTTCTCACTCCTCTAGAGAACCATGTGGTAGAATACAACTCTGTGCATGGCTTCTTATCCTCAGCACGATGGTTTTGATATGCATTCATATTATATTTAGCGTTATTTTTTTTAGTAGCTTGTTTTTGTTTATTTTTTTTTTAAAGCAGCATAGTGTTCACTTGCCTCTATGTTGTCATCTGTTTATCACTCACCTGTTGGCATACATTTGGTTTATGGTTTTGATTGCTGAAAATAAAACTCCTGTAAAAAAACACCAAAAAAGGCCTTTCAATAAAAACATGAAAAGGGACATATTCTCTCCTGTTTTCTAAAATAATTTCTGTAGAATTGGTATAAATTTTTCCTTAAATGATTGCTAGCATTAAGCTGTGAAATATGTGGACTTGACACTTTGTGGTTAGTAATTGTTAAATTCAGTTTCTCAAATGGGGATATTAAGATTTTCTATTTTTCTTGTGTCACATTGATAATTTTTTCTCAAGGAATTTGTTATTTTTTTCTAGCTTGTTGAATTTGTTGCCATAAATTTTCTTAATAATCTGTAATTATCCTTTTATTTGTAGATTTATAGTAATGTTCTTGTTTTAATTCTTTAGATAGGTAATTTGCATTTTCTGTTTCATTTCCCTTCTCTGAGATTTGTCTTTTTTATTGATCTTTAAAAAGAACCAGCTTGTGATTACAATTACTTAAAATTTTATTTACATTCTATTTTTTTGTTTGTTTGTTTTTTTTATTCCTAGCTTGTGGCTCCTTGAGTAGGTATAGGTCTAAATGAAATTAAGGACACTGTCTTGATACTTACGGCAAAGCAAATGGAAGTCTTCTGCGATGTAGTAATAAGAACTCACTACCTCATTTCTGCAGTGTTTTCTTCTGATTGCTGTTACTTTGAATTCTAAACAACTGCCTGTAATGCATCTCTCTCCCCCAAGGTTGTAAGATCTTTGAGAATAGATCTTGTATATTTTCATATTATGTTCATAAAGTCAGACAAAATTTTGACTTAGTATTTTAAAACTAATATCAAAAAACCTACATAAGCACTGAAATCTAGTTAGAAATGTGTTTCTCTTGGGGATATGGCGAAGCTAGCAGTTTTAAAATTACTTTATGTGCAAAACAGCATTGGTATTCACTTGAACACTTATTGGACACATATGTCTATTTACTTTTGTGAATTACAAATGTACAAAGCAGGCACCTATAAAATCAAATGATATCATTTCTTTTAAGATTATCTGGAACAACATTCTTGTGGAATTTTGCTATTCACTTAATATTCAAATTACGTATTCATATTATTGTTTCTATCCCAAATGATCTCTATATTCATCCTTTACTCAAAATAACATCAGTTTTAACTTATCTTTTTTTTGGCTTTAAGTTATTTTCGTGAAAGAAGACTTGGTGCTACCTCCACTGGCAAATCGGTGACCCAGCGAAGTGAGTGTCAGCCTTTAAAACCTATGTAAATTACTAAGCACTCATTTGATGATCTTATTGTGTTAATGTCATAATCAAGAAGGCAGTCCACCTGCAGAATAGAGAATAATGGGACTAGAACTGTCTGCCAGGCTTCATACTATTTCAGAGGCTTTTAATGGTGAGTGAATGAAAGACAGTAATCTAGACTCACACTCCTGGAAATTTGCACATGCTAATGTAAAAAGACTTTGGCTTCATTTGTCACTAAAGGCATTTAGTAAAATTAAGTGGTTTCTGACAGTCTGAGCTGCAGGACATAGATTTATGTGAAGTAACTTTGCCATGGTAACAGGAAAGGACTGACTTGTTACTCTGGTAAATGCATCTTTGATAATCTTTTCAAAAATTCTGCTTAGAGAAGTTCAGGAAAATTCTTGTTGACTGTAAGATGACAAACACTTGGCTACTGAGCTTTTAAATATCTTTACCACACCAGAAAATGCAAATAGTGGGAATTATTTCTATAGATCAGTTCAATTCAAGGATGATAGAAATTCTTTTGAAATAATTTACAGGTATGTTAGATACTGATTTTAGGGAGATAAGTGGATTCTGGTATTTTGAGTAATATCACTTCTAATTGTTGTGTTGGTGAACTTCTAGTACTTGTTTGTTGAGAATTAGGTTAGAATTTATTTTTCTGCCATCCTTGCTTTCCATTATTTAGGAATTAACACCATCACTGGCACCATCGTAATTTCCATTACATGTGGGAAATGTGAGTGTGGATCTTAGAACTTAGAAAGAAAACACACACACACACACACACACACACAATGCCATGCTTGGAGAAATAGTGAGTAACATGTTCTGGTTGTGAAGTAAGGGATATATACAGTGAAGACTTGGGAGAGTTGATTTGTGGATAAGAATTATGAACATAATTTAAGCACAGTGAATAGAGCTTACTTGTTGCTATAAAATAAACACATGCTTTAGGAATTTTTTTGCATTGTTTTACATTATTCTCATCTTTCCATTCTCATTCCTGTAATCCCCCTCCCCACCAAAGATCCAAATGAGGAGAATTCATCTTCCATTTTACCTTATGGAGAGACATTTCTCTTCCAGAAGCTAGAAAATTCCAAGGTTAGTCTCATAGTCTTTTAATTTTTCCATATTTAATTCTTTGCTCTCCTTCCTAAGTCTGTCTCTTCATTTTCCTGAAGCTGTTTAAAGATTGCATTACACTGAAAATAAAATTTCCAGTCAGTATCAGTTTATCCAGTAAAAATCAAGGTAAAGTTAGGACTTTTTTTAACATATGTCATAAAAACATATTTAGCTTGATACTGGAATACAGGAGAGTGGGTTTTAAAATATGCCACAAGGTACGGTTACTTTTAAAAAATAATAAAATAAACCACTAAACCCCCCCAAACTCCATGGGTTTTATTTTGTCTCATAGCCAAATGTAGAGTTAAGATTATTTATATATCCTAATTACTTGTTTTATCACTCAGTATTTTTAGTATTTCTGCTCTTTTGCCATTTTAATTTTTGATCTTGATAAAGTGAAATTGAAATTTAGAAAGTCAGAATGTAGGATTAAATGAATTTTGCTCTTGGTTGGCATCTTAATTGATGTGATGAACTATTAGAGATTTAAATAAAATACTGAAAAAGACATTAAGGGCTTCTCTTGAATATATTCTTCCTAATTAAATGTTTTAATGAAAATTGATGTAAGAAATTAGACATTTATTTAATAAAGATAAACCAAGATGTCACGGATTTTTGTAAAATATTGCTGTACTAAAAGTATATATATATATATATGTTAACAGAAGAAATCTCTAAGAGATGTGTATTGTAGTCACGAAGAAACTCTTAAAGGAGAAGCAACTGCTGAGAGGAACACTTTTTTGGTCAAATCAAGGTAATGAGGTTTTGGATGAGCGTTCTACTTTTGAATGGGCTGTTACTTAATGTTGACTTCTTGCTCCTGGTTTTAAGAAAATGGTTTACACAAGTAAGTTCAAATCTTTTGTTCTGTTTTGATAATGGTACTCATTTTAATATCTGAGTTTAGTATTTTAGTATTCGTATGTATGTAGTGACACTCTGTAGCAGATTATTTTGTCTTTTCTTCATTGAAACTACTTTCCTTGTCCCAGAGTGACAAATATGTGGTGTTTATGATTTCACTTAAAAGATGGTTGTTATGAAGTAGAAAGGGACAGTGTAAAATGTCACTGTGTGAGGTGAAGAATTTTTTGTGAATACAATGCATCCTTTTAATAGGGAGTTCAGCATTAACAAATGACAGTTACCTGGTGTTTAGATCACACAGATGATTTAATAGTTTGTAAGATATCAACTTTAATTTTTTCTCAGCTTTATTGGCTTACTTGACTTACTGAATTGTTGAGGTTCATTTTGTTTTCAGTTTATTCACCATTTCCCAAGGTAGGTGATCTTGTCGATTTCTTTAAATTGACTATAAGTAATTCTCTCTAGTAAGGACTTGTTATGGGCCTACTATGATATAAAACTTGGAAGAGGCCAGGCTAAATCATCATTTAGAACATGATTTTTAGAACACTGTCTTCAGAAGAATGTAATCTGACTCTTAGGAATATCTGTCATTGATTAACAAAAGCTTTTTTGTTATGAGTTTATTATATACAAATGTCAAGTAAATCCATTTTGTCATTCTTCAGATGTATAGGAATATGCTTTTGTTACTACAAATGCAGCCAAATAAAAATTGTAGGTTACACAGCTTTTATCTTCAGCTTTTATCTTTTATTTTTCATTTTCTAGTTAGCAGTCAGCACAGTTGTTTTCTTCATTAGCATTGCAAAATAACACTAAAGCTCTCAGCAGTCAAACTCCCTGCTATATTATATTAAGATAGAAAATAAGGTCTAGAAGTCAATCAGAGGAGCCAAGTGAAGGGGCATCCGGGTGGCAGTGAGATCTCCAAATTGGTGGCTTAGTGATGTTTATGATGTGCCCTAGACACTGGAGGTTGGGCTTGTCACTGAATGATGCTGTTGAACATGATTACATTGTGCTGCAAAGAATGGTACCCAGCTCTCCCCCAAATAAAAAGATCATAGTGAATTACATATAAGGAAAGGATGTTGTTTCCAGTGGTGTGCAAATGTGTCTTAGAGATAACAAGAGATTTATTTAGCTATCCTAGAAGATTTTAAAAATATGTTGAAGGGGTTAGTTTGTATTAACTTACATTTCATTTTTTTCTCTTAAAATTTTGTGATTGCTTGTTTATAAATTAGAAAAAAAAATGACCTAAATCACATACAGTATTTTGAAATAACTCCAATCTTTTCCATTTAGCATATATGATAATAGGAAGGAGAAAATAAATGAAGACAAAGTGGAAGATATTTGGATACCTCGTGAGGACAAAAATAATATCCCTGTTGATTCTGCTTCAGAATCAGAATATTCAACAGTGGAAGAATGCTTTCAGAGCTTAAGAAGAAAAAATTCAAAGGCATCTAAATCTAGGACTCAAAAAGCATTGTCTTTGGACCCTGTTATTAGGCATAGTTATCCGTTAAGCTCAACAAGTGGAAATGCTGATTCATCAGGTTCCTCAAATGCGATATCTCCCTATGCCTGTTTTTATGGATCGTCTGTAAAGAAAGTTAAATCGGGATGGCTAGACAAACTCTCCCCTCAGGGGTATGTATGTAGTCATATTTTTCGTAAGTAGTTTATTTAAAAAAATATTTAACTGTATCCATTTCTAAGCTTGCTGCAGTTGTTGCTTAGCTTCTCCCTAACCACACTTGCATACAGATACAGTCTTTAGGGTCTTCTGGATGATTCTGCAAGTGTTACTTGTTTGTCATTTGGAAGGATTCGTGCATGGTGTTATTATTGCAGGTTTATTAGCATAGCAAATTAAAACTGAAAATGTTGACTTCAAGTCTAGATTCTTAACTATTTATAACATTGCTTCTGAATTCACTACCATGTGTCTCAGTTTGTAGTAAAGAAAAGTAGCACAGACTGAGTTACTATTACTCATCCACTCTGTTAGATTTGTGCTCATATAGTGATGTGTTTGGGAGTACAAATCTTGCAGTTAGGGGAACGCATACCATTGTGACATTTGGGGCTTCATTGTTAGGTTTTAATTGCTCATGCCCTACAGAGTGTCAGTCTCTTGAATACTATACATTCAAAACAGATTTATCATTTCAGATATTTACAAAAAACTTTCTGTCCCTAAGTATTCATAGTATTGACACACCTTTGGTGTGGAATTACTTTCTAGTATCCTGATTTTTGGATGTCTTTTTTGAAATATTTAATTGAAATGTTTCATCTGAAGTAGTGAAATTACTTTGAGGTGAAACCTCTCATTAAGTGGTTGCTATATGCTGATTTTCTCTACTATTCCCCTAACTTGTGCATCATTTCTAGAAAACCTTAGTTTGACTTTGCATAAAGCTTAGTATCAAAAGAAAAAATTTACCAGAAGCATCACTAAATGGACTAGTGGGAGCAAAAATTGCATTACTTAAGCAAGCAAAAACAAAATCACCTTATGAGTAGCATTCTAGAGTTGAAACTTACAGGGTAGCATCCTTTAGAAGATTAGAGTTGAATAAACCAAAGCTGAGCCTTCATAGTATCACTGATTTTGTCTTCTTTGGTTATATTACAAAGTTGCAAACTGTGTCTGCTTTTCATCAGTTACCAGTTTTATCGGTAAATGCAAAGGTATTTTGCAACACTCAGATTGACGGAACTGCTACATGAAACAGTGAGCTTGAATGTTCTCAAATCTTTCCTCTCTGTACACTTGGCTTAGAGAGGTCCTAGTTTTCTTTCAACATCTCAGCAGACACTGGGTGCAGAACTCCCAGCAGCTGTGGTTTCCTGTCTTATCTCTAGTGGTACCTCAGTCTTTCCAAGGTTGGTGTGTACATGCTTCCGTCACACTCCGAAACTTTCACATCGCTGACCACCTCTGGACAGTGACATTTCTCCTCTTTCTCACAGCTCTGATTTTCCATTCTTTCTATTCTGAACTTATGTAAGCTCAGAATAAGTTTTCTGGATTCATATTTTTTTCTGTTTTAAGTGAAATAATTGAATTTGTGGTTTAAAAATCCCACCCCCCGAATATCAGGATGAATAGAGATAGGAAAGAAAATAAAAGACCTTATCATATCACATAGAAATTTGAAAAAGAGAGACTTGAAAAAAAATACGTAATTGGCCAAAGGAGAATGAATTTATTTGGTCAAAAGTTGATTCCATATTTTTCCTTTTCCTAATCATGCTACTAGGCTATTGACTGTTTAAGATTCCTGGTAATTAGATAAAGGGATGCCTACCCATTCCTTAGGCAGAGGTAGCAGCTTTAACTCTTGGTCACATGTCTCCTTGAGGGATGTCATTCTGAATCTATAGAGGAGATATAGCAAGCTTTTCCTGTAAAATGTAAGATTTTATTCTTTACAGCCATAGGATCTCTGCTGAAGGTCAGTAACTCAACAGTTGTAGTATGGAAATAGCCATAGATCCTATGTAATTCAAGGAATGGAACTGCATTTCAAGAAAACATAAAAACAGACACTGGGTTAGATTTCTCCTGTGGGCCAGAGAGGCATAAAATAGACGTTTGGTAGGTCTTGTATTACATCTTCCATCTCCCTTGGGCTCCAAGTAGAACATTATGACTTAATAGATCATAGTGATCATAGGGAAATGGCTTCCTATTATTCCATCAAATATGGAAGTAATAAAAAAACAGGAGCCCTTTAGGGGACATTTGTACTTTTCTTTCTGCCTGAATGTTCCCATGCAGAGCAACACCAGGCCTCACATCTTGACACCTCCAGTTCTACTCTAATGTCTCATTTGCATTGTGGCCAGAACACGTTATCACACTCTTCCTCATCATTCCCTTAATTACTGTACTTCTCTCTGCAGGGGTCATGCTCGAAATGATTTATTTATTTCATAGTCTCTTCTGGAGGCAGTAATCTGCATTGGCTAACATTGCCTGGAAGATGCACTTGATATTTATTGTTAAACGAATAAACAAAAAGCTAGTAGTAGACATTGTTTTTTTTCAATTTTATTCTAAGACAACCTGTATCTAAAAAGTGTTTGGAGAATTTTGTAATAAAAGCAACTAGAACCACCTAATTATTAGCTGAATATCTGCTTTTGTCCACTCATAGTGCTTTATAAGTAATAGAATATGGACTTTCACTTTTCCTTTTAAACAAATATAAACACTCAGTTACGCTTCTCTGAATAGTGCTTGAAATGAAACTGTTCTCAGTCAGTGATATTAAATAAAAAAAGTCAAATTCATAATCTGAGTTTACTCCAGTTGATTGTCTATTTGCTTTTGGAATGGAGATGCGAGTTCTGAATCAATGCACTATATATGAAAATATTTTTAGAATTAAAATATTCATATTTAGAAGGAAAATAATTATATCATGCAACTACATAAATGCTGATGCACTGCCTGTTGAGCTGACAGTGTGAAAGATTATTTAAATATTCAAGCAATTTAATTAGAATATAGACTGAGACTTTTGGCTTTAAAATAACTTGACAAAATGTTGAATTTGAGATTGTCACCAGATGGACAAAGTTAATAAATAGCACTTGTTTAAAAAAAAAAAAAGAATGCACTGGCATTTGAGGATTAATAAAAACAAACAAACAAACAAAACCAAGTCTCTCCCTTCCCTTACTGAAATGAAAAAACTTCAGGCCTTAGTTAATCTGTGTAGATGCAAATGGAAAGACTGTATATAATTCCTAAATAACTCAAAGGAGGAACCTTGAAAGTTGCTTTAAAGAAAAGTGAACAGCTGAATGTGCTGTACCTTTCTAGGAGATGCAAAGTCAAAATATCCAAGAATACCTGCAACGAGGAGCCCTTTTGACTTTTTTTTAAAAAAAAAATTATCTGTGCATACAGAACTGGGGTACAGGCCAGAGGTGCAGGGGCTGGTGAGAGGCTTCTCCCAAGACAGAGTGGGAAGTAGAACAGGCAGAGGGAGAGGATTCACCAGAGACAGAGTGGGAAGCAGAACAGGCAGACTAACGAAGTACACTGCTGAGGGGAGCAGTGGGCGGGTCAGGAGAGGTCTGCCACGCCATGTGGGTCACCTGTGGGGACAGGGATCAAACTCATGCAGAAGTGGCTTAGCTTCTTAGTGCTGTGTTGTATGAGGACTCCCTTTTGACTCTTTTAATTTGTTGTTTTCTAAATGTATTTGTGTCTGCAGCTTAATGTACTGCGCCTACTTGCAAAAAAACTGTGATATACCTAGAGGAATTCATATTTTACTTCACAAGATGTTTTAGAACTTTTAGAACTTTATTTCTTACTAAGCTAAACTCCTCTTTAAAAAAAAATAGTTTTGAGCCATGGAGAGGCATTGTATGGCAGTATGAGGCCTAGGACAGAAGAAACTGAATTCGTGAGGCTAACTCAGCGACTTAAGTATATATAAAACACTTAAGAATTTATGAAGGAGTACAAAGATAAGCAAGCTGTGTTTCTTCTTTTTTTTCTTTGTCTTCCATTAAGGGTAGGAAAAATACACAAATAAAACTAAAAGGCAAAATGTAATAATTGGTGCATAAAGGTTCACAGAATATGGAATCATGCAGGACTGAGAAAAAATTTTTAAGGATTTTCTAAGAAGACAAGTAGCAGTCATTGCATTTTTGCAATATGGATAAGATTTTAACTGATGTTTTTAAGTGAAATACCTCTCTGGCTAGATAGAGTGAAATAGCACTGACATACATAGCAGCAGCTGAATGTCCTGACATCTATAAGAGGGACTGCAAGGGTGTCTTGGAGTTTGTTTGTGAAGATGGCTTGAGTGTCAAAGGGGAGAAGCTGCCAGTGAATTGTGTGTTCAGGTTTACAGAGAAGTGAGGGGGAAAACCAATGGTTAGATACCAGCCACAGGGCAGATCATTTGAAGGACAGTCCCCTGTGACTTGTGGGAGCTCAGGGATTATCCTGCCTGCGCTTATGTCAGTCATGGGTTTTTCAGTCAGTGCCTAGACTTCCCCAGCTGCTTTAGTGGAGTAATTCCCACCGGCACAGTGTGTGAGTACCTACACGTGGGTGGTTTTTCTGTGAAAAGCACTGACAGTAGATTGACCAAAGTCTGTCTGACCCTGGTACTTGTGTCTGTCACCTTGTCCAATAAGTTGAATCCTAAATGGTGGATATAAAGTGTCCTTTTATACTGGCAAATGAGTTGAAATCTATTACTTCAGTTGTTAAAAATGAGGAAATGGGGCCCTCCCTAGTGGTACAGTGGGTTAAAGCACAGCACTAAGAAGCTAAAGCCACTTAAGCATGAGTTCAATCCCCAGCCCCAGAGGTGACCCACATGGCATGACAGACCTCTCCTGACATACCCGCTGTTCCTCTTAGCAGTGTACTTCATCAGTCAGCCTGTTCTGCTCCCTACTCTGTTTCTGGTGAATCTTCTCACTGCCCCTGCACCTCTGACCTGTACCCCAGTTCTGTATGCATAAATAAATAAATCTTTGGAAAAAGAAAAATGAGGAAATGCATTTGGAGTAGAAATCTTATAATAATGATAACAGTTCTTTACTTTTTCTCTGAACTGTTTCATTGCTAATACCACATCCTTTGAAAGCATTACACTTAG